TTAGTATTGCCGACTCCATTCTGAACCAATAATGCAGTGATTTGCATTGGTAGTAGAAGAGGAGACTGCACGTTAGAATTGAAATTGGATACTAAATTTTAATTTCTTCTTAAACCATATCGTTGGTATTTCTTTCCAATTAATATTTTTTTTCGGCTGAGGTCTTCATTAGTCTATGCTATACATTAAACTGTTAATATGTTAAGAAGTTGTTTTTGACAGAGCATCAACACCCTCATGAATGGCGTTGACAAGTATTTTAAAGTACACTAAGGTTTTTGGAAATTTCGTATGTTTTAGCAGCTGCACAAAACCGTCTGTGCAACAAAATGATGTCATTTGATGAGAAACTAGCACAGTACGTTAAAAGAAGAGTGTATAAGAAAAGGTCAAACCAGAATCTCTGATGTGCTTTATTTTGTAATGTTTTTATGGGATAAACGCGGACTTTCTGCAATGTCTGAAAGACTCAAAAGGGAAAAAGTATGAGATGTTGCTTAGGACACGTTGGTCAGGAGATCGTCAAGTAGGAGTAACATAGAACATGAGCACAGTAATCGGAGCGTGTAAAAAGTACATTATTACGTGCATATGAAGTAGGCGAGAGTAATGACAAACCACTAAGACCAAGAAATATGCTCCGCAAATGAATGAAACATTGAAGCACGTTCATAGTATCGTTTGGGAAATTTTCAAAGTCTCGCTGCTGTACCAGTCCCCCATGACTGTGTTTAGGTATATCGCCTGCGTTTGCTGGTGTGCTGGTAAGCGATTCGTCGTTCAACATCTCTGCCGTCATTGCGAGCTTCGGGATAGTTATATCTATAGACCGTGGGCTTTTGGTGCTGATCCTTTGGCAGGCTGTGCTGATGATTCTTCGTCGGGCTGGGCTGATGATCCTTCGTCAGGCTTTGGTGGTGTTCCTTCGGCGCGCTGTGGTGCTCTTTATCTTCAGGTTTCTTGTAGTCAGCATAAAAATCAGGATACTTGGAGCCCTTGTGCTGTTGATGCTCTTTATTTTTGGTATCCTTCCTTCTGAACCACTTACCCTCACTCGTCTGGAGTAGCGCAGCGCACAGAAGTGCGAGAAAGACCAAAGTTAAAGCTCGCATAGTGACGTGTGAAAAGAATGACTGATGGAAAAAATGGCGGGACCTAAATACCCCGG